AAATACATTTTCTGTGACAGTTCAAAAAGAGTTGAAAGCTTGTTATGGTGCTTGACAGAGAATTTCTGTACTTGGCTATTTGCAGTCATAAAGAGCCACTATACTTATGTCTCTTGTGAGACACAAATGGAGGATTAGTATGCTTACGAGTAGCCCAGCACAGAATGGCTGTTGGTCCTTTCTAACATGCATTGAGGAGAACTGATATTGCAGATGTCAAATGTTTTCTTATAATTCTCTTATATTTAAGAAGACCACGTCTCAGCTAGGATGGACATCCTTTCCATTGACTTGACAATACGATGAGAGTTCTTCCTGACTCCTAAGGTTCAGACTGTCAGTGTAGCAAGGATGGTCTCTATCAGGCAGTCATTAATTGGTTTAACAAGCAGTAAAAGCACAGGTCTCTTCACTTACGTGTCAACAACCAATGTGAAGAGACAGAATTGAGATATATATGTTAGAACTCAAAAGCCCACATCTGTGGTGAGTGTCCACTGCTGTGGAAACAATACTAGAAGAGATCTAATTATAACACTGAGGTTCCCTTCACTGCCATCACTGAGAACAATACTGGATCTTAAGTTTGCAATTACAGTTATGCTGGATATTTGTAAACAAATGTTCAGAAGAAATCTAGCTGGTGCTGAGTGTTAGGATGAGGGAGTGTCTTAATCAGGTATCAGGGCCACATAGCTAAAGCACTTAGCAGAGTGGGCTCTTCTTATTCCAACTGTCAGGCTTTCCTACCAAATGAGACAAATGGGAAGCAAGGGTAAGGCAGGCTAATGCACAGCACCTAATGTGTTTCGGATAAGGTTGCTGGTATGCAGAGCTCCATTGAAGTACAAGGAATAAGTTTCCAAGGTAAAGCTAGCAGAGCTGCTATGTCCAGCAGCCCGCTTAGAAGCTCCTGCCCTAAATTTGTGATCACCTGTTCCAAGGGCATAAGGTTCTTTGTCATGTGACATCTTTGTCCTGTTTGTTTCACTTTTATGGAAAACTTAATGTATTTCTTATCTTTGGTTATGCTTAGCACATGATAATATCTTTATAAAGAACCTCACCTACTGAGAATTTACAGCTGTTTACCTGGCAAATACATCACATCCAGAAAATACATATTTTCAGCAAGAGCAACTCAGAGGCCTTTTGTAAATCCCAGTGGGAAAAGCTTGCAGAGGCAGGTGAATATCTAGCATATGTTGCACTATAGAATTCAGCAGGATAGAGCTGGTAGTCAAAAATAATTAAAGCAAGAATTCCTACACTGCAGGACCAGAGAGGTGTGACTGTTAAGCATGACACTTGTTGCTACACTCACCATGAATGATAAGAGACCTTCTGTTGAGAGCATTTTGACTACATCCATGAAAGATTTTGCAAGGATGTAGTCTCTGTGCTCTTGGTCTGTCATGTCTCAAGGCACCCCCTCATAGTATGGATGTCTAACAGGTTAAGAATCTTACTGAAGAAATGGCAGCTCTGGATGAAAATATTTCTAAACTCACTAAGGAGAAAAAGGCCCTCCAGGAAGCCCACAGTCAGACACTGGATGACTTGCAAGTTGAGGAAGACAAAGTCACGGCACTCAACAAAACCAAGACCAAACTGGAGCAACAAGTAGATGATGTAAGGAAAAGTTTTGGGGTTGTGTAGGTGAATGTACTGACAGATTAGAAGAGTCTAGAAAACTGTAGCTGGGAGTATAAGTAACACCTAAAGCAGCCAAGCCAACCCTAATACTTCCAGCTAATAACCCACTGCCAGTTGACAGAGTATTGTGGAATCTGGGACATCTACTTTTCCCTGGACATGTAAACTAAATTCATCACTGGATATTTCAGTATTGTAGACTTTCGTGCCTCTTTTAATCAATTTAGTTGGACCACTGTAGCAATCTGAAGTTTGATGCAGAGTTATTTGTGGTCTCTTACTGTGCAGTGTGGATATACTCCAGGAAGTTATGGACACTGGAAATTTGTCTATATTTTAGGGACTGCAGCCACTGGAAAAACTTAAATTTCTGTATTTTTCAGAAACTTGCATTTCAACTGTGCACAGCCAAGCTGTGGACAGCTTAATGTCCAAAATCAAATCACAATGGCAGCTTTAATCTTGCAGCGAGAGTGTAACACAGGTAGAGATGAGAAGTTTACACAGGATCTGTTTCCACTATTCATCAATTTTTAATCAATAATAGTTATTTGCAAAGTAGAATTATGTGTTTCACAGTGTTTTATGTGTTTTAGCTTGAAAGTTCTCTGGAAGAAGAGAAGAAACTGCGAATGGACCTTGAGAGAGCAAAAAGGAAACTAGAGGGAGATCTGAAAATGTCTCAGGATTCCATCATGGATCTAGAAAATGATAAGCAACAGATGGATGACAGACTAAAAAAGTATAGCACTGGATTTTTATGCTCTGAATTCTAAAATTCATATTTAATCTTAACCATATTGAATTTGCATTCTTGTTCTTTAACAGGAAGGATTTTGAAATCAGACAGTTGCAAGGTAATATAAAAGATGAGCAGGCTCACAGTTATCAGCTGCAAAAGAAAATTAAGGAGCTTCAGGTAGAGTACGAGAGTTCTTGATTTTTTGGTAGCTAAGCACATTTTCCTTAGAATTAATTGATGTTTATTCTTAGGCTGTTCTACAAAAATATTTTCCTACACATGAATAAAGCAGTTAACATGGACTCTAGGTGTTGTTCCCATCTCAGGACAATTCTACAGGAACTCTGGCTTCTAATCATACATAACTACATAAGAAACATCTTAAGTAAAGCTTGTGGCAGGCTTTGAAAATGGATCAGATACTGAGTTATAACAGTAGTGAAGCCACTGAGAATTACTTTTATAATTAAAAAAAATTGAATGTGACATAACCTGTCATGATCAGGACAGACATCACATTTTAAATGCAGAGCCAGGAAGAAAATCCTTTTCAGTGCTATTATCCTATGGTTGGTCATCTCAAGGTTCCTTCCATCTTTGCTGATAGCAAGAAAACACTGTTTTGTTTTGGCTTGACCTTTGGGAAATCTCTAACAAACTTGATTTCCTTTACATTTTCCAGTGACACATCCCCCATTTCTTCAGAAAAGTTCAATACTAGATCTTTCTTAACATAATGAATCCATTCCGAGCTATAACATAACATGAAATATCAGATATTGCATTCACTGTTGTTCTAAAACCAAATATTACATGTCCTAGAATATAATTCAGTGAAATTTCTAGTGGTGCTTCTCTCATTATGCTGATATAACTGGATGTGAATGTTCACTCCTTCTTCCTTAAAGGTAATTTCACATCTGTCCATCGAAAAGCCTTCATTTAACCGATTAAGTTTCACAGGTTCGAACAGAGGAACTGGAGGAGGAAATTGAGGCAGAGCGAACCTCTCGGACAAAAGCAGAGAAGCATCGGTCTGACCTCTCGAGGGAGCTGGAGGAGATCAGCGAGCGCCTGGAAGAAGCAGGAGGGGCTACAGCAGCTCAGGTCGAGATGAACAAGAAGCGTGAGGCCGAGTTCCAGAAGATGCGTCGTGACCTCGAAGAGGCCACGCTGCAGCACGAAGCCACGGCTGCTGCCCTGCGCAAGAAGCACGCGGACAGCACCGCTGAGCTTGGGGAGCAGATCGACAACCTGCAGCGAGTGAAGCAGAAGCTGGAGAAGGAGAAGAGCGAGCTGAAGATGGAGATCGACGACCTGGCCAGTAACATGGAGTCCGTCTCCAAAGCCAAGGTACACAAATACCTTCTAGATATTGCATAGAAACACAGAAAGGTTTGGATTGGAAAGGACCTTAAGATCTTCTAGTTCCAACTCATCTGTCATGGGCAGGGACACTTCACACTTGACCATATCACCCAAGGGGCTGTCCAACCTGGCCTTGAACACTGCCAGGGATAAAGCATTCACAACTTCCTTGAGCAACCCATTCCAATGCCTCATCACCCTCACAGTAATGAACTTCTGCCTTATATCTAACCTGAACTTCCCCTGTTTCAGTTTGAGCCTATTATGTGTTGAACCACCAATCATCTTTCACTCTGTTTTTCATGAAAACAGGCAAATCTGGAGAAGATATGTCGCGCCCTAGAAGATCAGCTCAGTGAGATTAAGACAAAGGAGGAGGAACAACAGCGCACAATTAATGACATAAGTGCTCAGAGAGCTCGGCTACAAACAGAATCTGGTAAGACATTTGTGGACAGAGTTTAAGAGAAAATGAGGCTTTAAAAAAGACATCAAATGACATGACATGAGGCTTTAAAAAAGAGAGGGGAAGAAGAATCATGGAGTCTTGCTGGAACCACAGCTGAACATTAACCAGAAATGTGCTCTTGTGACAAATGCAGCCAACAGAATCTCAAAATGCAAAAGTGTTGCCAGAAGGTTAAAAGGGGTGATCCTTATCCCTGCTCGGCACAGTTGAAGGCCCACGTGGGGTGCTGTGTCCTGTGCTAGGCTACCCATACCAGAGAGATACAGGCATCCTGAAGCAGGACCAGTAACATGGACTGGAACAAACAGTGGATGGAACAACCTTCACAGGGGTGTGGTAGAGTCTGATCACTGGAGGTGTCCAAGACCTGACTGGAGAGGGTGACACATAACCACATCTAGGTGCTCTTTCCCATGAAAGGTCTCTTCCAAATGGGACTGTTCTATAATTCTATGACTGGAGTTTCAAAGGAGAATTCATCTACTTCATAACCTAGACTTCATCCCTCTTCCCAGAGACATTCAGGACAGGACAGTGATATACCTGAGCACATACACAGTATAGTACTAATTCTGAAAGCTTGAGGCTTGAAGGGACCATGGGACTTAGTGCAAATATACATTAAGACTAGTCAGATATTGGAAAAAGGGCATGATGTACCTCATTTCTTGCCTCCAAGATAAATACTTCAGCATTCTCAGAGCTATGGACAGGTATAAGCAATTAGAATTCCATGGAAGAAATAAAATGTTGTTAAACTCCAAATATTTTTATATGCATTTAATTATCAAGGTTGACACTTTTCAGTAAGGCATAAAGAAGCTCCTTTACTCATCTGACTTCCCTCAGGGGAATACTCGCGCCAGGTGGAGGAGAAAGATGCTCTGATTTCTCAGCTGTCAAGAGGCAAGCAGGCTTTCACCCAACAGATTGAGGAGCTCAAGAGGCACCTAGAGGAAGAGATCAAGGTGAGAAAGCTTCACAGTCTTCTCCATTGGATTTCTCCTGTCCAGGAGGGGCTTCAGATACATATGAAATTACAGAATGAACAGGAGGGAGAAAAAAAACACTTGGGTAATGAAGTCAGCTGTTCTCATATTAGCTTTGCTCTACTTTCTCTACTGCCTAGTCATTAGTTCTTCTGCAGATTCCCAGATCTTCCTTTCTCCTTCAGTAGCTTGCCATCATTCTCACAATAGTATAATCCAGTGCCCATGAATACTTCAGGCAGGAGATTTACCACAATACTTCCATTCATTGCCATACTAAAATTCTTCCCTACAGGCCAAGAACGCACTGGCCCACGCCTTGCAGTCTGCTCGCCATGACTGTGACTTGCTCCGGGAACAATATGAGGAGGAGCAGGAAGCCAAAGGGGAGCTGCAGCGCGCCCTGTCCAAGACCAACAGCAAAGTGGCCCAGTGGAGAACCAAATATGAGACAGACGCTATTCAGCGCATGGAGGAGCTGGAGGAGGCCAAGTATGTGGGGAAGTTGGGCAGGGCTGACACTGAGAATGGAAATTTAAGGAGACCACTGTGATATTGTCAGGAAGAAGTCAATGCTCTGCTTTAGGAGGGGCTGGCAGGAAGAGACAAAATATAACTAAGAGCAGGTATGCACGGGGGAAAGCAGACACAGCAAAGCTGTTCAGATGAAGAATTGCAGAGACATGCTGATGAGAGTAACAGTGCGAACAGTAGAGCATGAATTCCTGCAGCCCAGGATTCAGACATAGAAATACAGTGGCTGGCTGGAAGAGGTCCTACACCTCTGTATAAATGGGGATCACACACAGCCAATTGGGTGCAAGTGCTCCTGCGAAAAACATACAGGCTACACAACACTGGCTCCCATTTGCTTCCTCACCTGCACCTGTGCTTACCATCTTCCAGGAAGAAGCTGGCACAGCGCCTGCAGGATGCAGAGGAACATGTTGAAGCTGTCAATGCCAAATGTGCCTCCCTGGAAAAGACAAAGCAGAGGCTGCAGAATGAAGTGGAGGATGTGATGATTGATGTGGAGAGATCAAATACTGCCTGTGCAGCTCTGGATAAGAAGCAGAAGAACTTCGACAAGGTCTTTCAGGCTGCAGACTGGGGGCTCCTGGACAGAGCATCCCCTCCTCATTGTCACATCCACACTGACACCCCCTTTCTCTTCAGATCCTGGCAGAATGGAAACAGAAGCATGAGGAAACACAGGCTGAGCTGGAAGCCTCCCAGAAGGAGGCCCGCTCTCTTAGCACAGAGCTGTTTAAGATGAAGAATGCCTATGAGGAGTCCTTGGACCACCTGGAAACGCTGAAGCGTGAGAACAAGAACTTGCAGCGTAAGTGCCTGGCCCTCTGCTCCTGGCAGGGCTTTCTCAGCACCCACCAGTACCCACCGCTTCACATGGGTCTGTGCCTGCACGTGGGCAAAGGTGCCTGTCATGTTGGTGTGTGAGGGCCCTTCCCATTCTGCTCTGTGCCTGACCATGCCATTGGTCCTTGTTCCCACAGAGGAGATTTCTGACCTCACGGAGCAGATTGCCGAGGGAGGAAAAGCGATTCATGAGCTGGAGAAAGTCAAGAAGCAGATTGAGCAGGAGAAATCTGAGCTCCAAGCCTCACTGGAGGAAGCTGAGGTACAGCCTTCTGTTCTTAATTGTTCACTTATCATTTAGCACTCACAGTTTAGCAACCTCAGATATGATTTATGAAATTATATGCACAGAGCATATACCATGTACAGGAAAGAGGAAATTTTGGACACCATTAAATTTTGGGTACGCAGAAATCTTTCCTGCAGTCTCAGACCTCATGCTATACATTATTCTTCAAGAGAATAGTTCATGTAAAGTGACTGAGAGTGGTATTTATACAATTAACCAATATTAACTTCTTTTTTTTCAGGCTTCCCTGGAACATGAAGAGGGGAAGATCCTGCGCCTCCAACTTGAGCTCAACCAGGTCAAGTCTGAGATTGACAGGAAAATAGCAGGGAAAGATGAGGAGATCGAACAGATGAAAAGAAACCACCTCAAAGTTGTAGAGTCCATGCAGAGCACCCTGGATGCTGAGATCAGGAGCAGGAATGAAGCCCTGCGTCTCAAGAAGAAGATGGAAGGAGATCTGAATGAAATGGAGATCCAGCTCAGCCATGCCAATCGCCAGGCTGCCGAGGCACAAAAGAACCTGAGAAACACACAGGGAGTGCTCAAGGTATGGTACAACAAAACTGGTGCTCACTGGTTAATGAATAATATAAACATTTCCCTGTTGTACAATTCTATCAGATCTATAATGAAGTGAAAACAGGAAAAGGAAAAAGAGGAAAATATACTTCACAGTCCTTCTTGTCTTCCTTTCCAGGATACCCAGCTTCAACTGGATGATGCTCTCAGGGCACAGGAGGACCTGAAGGAGCAGGTGGCCATGGTGGAACGCAGAGCAGACCTGTTGCAGGCTGAAGTTGAGGAGCTACGGGCAGCTCTGGCACAGACAGAGCGGACAAGAAAAGTGGCTGAGCAGGAACTGATGGATGCAAGTGAGAGAGTTCAGCTCCTCCATACCCAGGTCAGTGTAGAAATATATTTAGTATCTATACCTTTTCTCCATACAGATAACTGAAGACTGACTGAACTATAACACTTGTAAAATACACTGTAATTTTCACACTGTGGATAACAAATATTAAGTGTGGTTTTTCAGGTGCAGATATGAATTTCACTAGACTACAGTGCAGATACCTTAAAAGTAGTAAATTTTAGAGAGATATGTGAGGTTCTTACCCTACAACTCAATCGAGTTTAACAGGTTTCAGGTTTACTTTTGAGACTGTAAAGTCAAAGTTAGGTTGATCATTAACAAAACAGGAATACACTAATACAGTTACTGACATCATTTAACAATGTCATTATAAGCATTGTGTATCACCATTTAAAACTTTTACTGCCACAAGATTGAAAACTGTAAAGAAATATTACATCTTTTATCTTTATAAGTCTAAATTCCTTCTCTATTGACTGAAAAATTTTGAGGAAAGACTTTATGGAGGATGTTCTTGAAATAAGGAAGCACATCACAGCTGAGAAACAAACAGCTGCCACAGCAGATCCTTTAGAACAGAATAACATGTGACCTGATGGGGCAATTTGCATTAAAAAAAATTATTTATTCAATATTCTTAATATAATATCACAAGGTAACAAAAAGAAAATGGTCATGTTGATGCTCTTCAACAGAACACCAGCTTGATCAACACCAAGAAGAAGCTGGAAGCAGACATTGCCCAAATTCAGGGTGAGATGGAGGATACTGTCCAGGAAGCCCACAATGCTGAAGAGAAGGCCAAGAAGGCCATCACAGATGTGAGTTGGGGGTTCTTTTCATTACTGATGATAGATGGATTCTCCCCGTCTCCAGCCCCAAAATGGCTTTGACCCTTTGCTCTCCTCAGGCGGCCATGATGGCAGAAGAGCTGAAGAAGGAGCAGGACACCAGCGCCCACCTGGAGAGGATGAAGAAGAACCTGGACCAGGCAGTGAAGGACCTGCAGCTCCGTCTGGATGAGGCTGAGCAGTTGGCACTGAAGGGTGGAAAGAAGCAACTCCAGAAACTAGAGGCGAGGGTACGGTGAAGAGTAGGGCAGACTAAGGTCAATTTCCTGAGTGAGCCCTTGGTTGTTGGAACTTCTTAGAAAGGTTACAACAGGAAAGGGCCCAGGTCCCTCCAAGCAGATTTGATTAGAGTTACTTTGAGTAGTCAAACACTGCACAGTGGGTGAGCAACTTAAGAACGACTTCATAAAAACTGAGTGGTCAAATACGGCAGATGAACATCAGGACAGACATATAGGGAAAATAACTTAAAACATGCTTAACCTGTGGATAAACTTGGATCTGGCAATTGCAGCTCAGCCAGGAGATCTCAGTCTTATCCGTGACAGGCCTCAAACTTTTTGTTCAATGTGCAGTAGAGACAAAACCAGAAAAGAGAAAATAAAATTGGCTTCAATAGGAAAGGCAGAGAACAAGACAGAGAGCATCACTTGCCACTATATTAAATATATAATGTGCAGTCCTGTTCTCTGCTACTCAAGGACCTGACAGAGAAGCATCCAGGGAATGGCAGCTGAGTGGGTTGAGCCTTATGACGAGAGACAAACAAGGCTAGAACTCTTCTGTTTGGAGAGGAGATGGCTGAAGGGGGATGCTATGAGAGTTTACAGAATCCTGTCAGCAGGGACCAAGATGTATTCTGAATGGTTTTCACCAAAACATGCAATATCAGAAGTAAGGACACATGATGCAGATCAGGACATCTTCACCTGGAGATCAATTTAAAATAAATAAAAGGAAGTACTTTACAGAATGGGCAGCAAAATTCTGGAACCTGCTGCATGGGAGGCTGTAGAGAGAGTGGGTAGAAGGTTCAAAACGGGATTAGAAATCAGCAGGTTTATAGACATACTTAAGAGAACAGGCATAGAGATGCCACTTTACAATACCAATCTAACGACTGTGGAAGCTGTGGAAGCGTGAGGGGAGTAGATAGCAGTCAGGTTTTCAGGCTGTCCCTCAATAGTCCCCCTGCTGCCACTCTCAGAGGCAGAGCATTGGGCTAGATAGACCATTTGCCTGACCTGCCTGTTGCCCTTCTTAACTGCTCCAAAATATAGCACAACAGACTGGGAATTAGGCACTCTTGGCTTTGAAAGGAAGTATCCACACAGAAGTAAAAACTTTGATGTCCAAATTTGACTCATACACTACAGAAGAGGCACGGAGCTGTAGGAGCTTGTTAAGGACTATTCATGAGGATAAGCTGGACTGAAAAGATTAAAATTAAATAATTTTCCCCATTTACCTGGTGAACATTGACACTTCCCTGTTTCAGTTTCCTCTTTTCTGGCAGATTCAAGCGAACTTTGATTATAAATGTCAAAGGTATGCACAGCAAAGTTCCTTCTATAAATAACTATGGATTCACACACTATGTCACTACTAATACAGAATGGTGAGCAGTTTTTAGCTAGTCTGGCCCCAAGGACCAGCTCCAGGAAACTGCCCTGCATTGGCACTTTCTCTACAGACTTAGTCCACAGAACCTTGTTTCCCAGGTTCCTACAGCAGGATCAGCAACCATTCCTGGCAGCTTGCTGTCTTCACCATGGTACTGTGTTTCAGGTCAGTGAGTTAGAAAACGAGCTTGATGCTGAGCAGAAACGAGGAACTGAGTCCCTGAAAAGTGCTCGCAAATATGAACGAAGGCTGAAGGAGCTCACTTACCAGGTAATTCAAATCCTCTGCCCCCTTATGTGCATCACTTCTGTGATCTGAAGCCAATGTGATTTTCACTTCCCACAGTCTGAGGAGGATAAGAAAAATATTCTCCGGCTCCAGGACCTGGTGGACAAGCTGCAGCTAAAAGTGAAAGCATACAAGAAACAGGCTGAGGAAGCTGTGAGTGCCAGACTCTTCCTAAATCTTTGTGGGCTCTGGGTGGAGATTTCCAAAAGGCCTGGGCTCCCAATTCATTCAAGTAACTGACTACTCAGTTGACACGGTGGCAATGGCCACTGCCTTAGGATATTCCTCACCTCATAAAAACTTAGGGCTCACAACTGAACAGGCACAGCTGTAATTACCCTGGAGTTGTTGCACTTTTGGAGCCACACTAGCCAACTTTCCCACCTGGAACTGATCAGGACTAATCGTTCTGACCCCAGCTGAGTGCTCATGCTGTTGACAGCACTAGATAGAAATTCACGGAGTGCTGGCAGGGCAAGGATGTACCTTTGAAATTGGGGATGTTATTGGGGCGCAGCCATAAGGTGTTCAGTTAATGATAACAGAGCAATGTCACTTTGTGTCCATGTCACTGATGGCACTGCATGACTTCCAGGAAGAACAGGCAAATGCTGTTCTCTCACGATATCGCAAGACCCAGCACGAGCTGGAAGGGGCTGAAGAACGAGCTGATATTGCTGAATGTCAGGTTAACAAGTTACGAGCCAAAAATCGTGAAGGACAGGTGAGTTGGAGGGCTGCAGAGGAGGGCCGCAAAGATCTCTGACCAAACACCTCCAGGCACAGCTCTACTCCTTCCACTCTTGCACTAGTTTCCTCTTAAAAGAAAGCCAGAAATGGGCTCTTATTCAAAACCAGTGTGGTTTGACAGTCCCTTTGGTGCCCCCCGAAAGACTGACCACATATGATCAACTCTAAGAGTCCAGGTCTTTTCAGCACAATTAAGAGATACTGGTTCTTTGCCAGTAATACAGCAGAACATTAGCAATAGCCACAGGCTAAGATGCAACTGATGCAACCCCACCAATGATCCAATTGCTCAAATAATCTCTATATTATCTTCCTTTTTCTTTTTTTCTTTTAGAAATCAGAGAAATGATATCCCTGACCAGAGCTGCAGCAGGCTCTGTGCTGACTTCTGTGGATCTAACAAGAGATATTATTTGCTTCATGTAATTCATTAGGTGTTAGTTTCATGGTTATAATACAGGTATTATGTTATAATAGTTATACGTAATAATAATAACCATTTGCCTGGTCATATTTAACCAATCCTAAATAGGTGTAGAAAATAAAAAGAAACCTAGGTGATGCCTCAATTTATCGTGAGATTGACAGTGTTTGTGAACGGAAGTAGCAGGTACGGCAGTGGTTACCAAAATCCAAGGTATGTCCTAGCAGGAAGGATTCCCAGGGCAATGGGAACACACTGCTCAGTTATTCTCCACAGTTTCAACTTTCATGCCTGAGAGAAGCAAAGAGTTAAATCAGGAAACTACAGAACAGATCTCTCCACAATACCTGTGACTTGAACTGCCCGGTTCTCCCGCCTTTGCATCCACGGAGAGAGCGTCTCCTCCATACAGCCCATGTGTGGAGGGCTCTGCCACGAGCGGAAGGAACGGCTGGGGATGCGCAGCCCACACCGCCTGCGTGTGTGCTGCAAGGGCGCGTAGGCCCTGTGCAAGGGAGGGAAGAGGGCATCCGCTCCGGAGTGTGCGCGGGGATCTGCTCCATGCGGGACGGGGAGAATATGGGGAGGAATCCGCCCCATGCGGGGGGGGGGGTGTGGAGGAGCTCTGCTCCATGCGGGGAGGGGGTGAACCCGTTCAGCCCCGCAGTCCCCCAGCGGCCGCGGCCGCGCCTGGCGCTCGAGTCCTGCAGCGCTCCGGCCGGTGCCGCCCGCAGCCAGCGGAAGCCCTGCGCAGGATGCGCCGGCAGGGGGCGCTGCAGTGCCGTGGTGGGGTCGGCCGCGGGCGAGCTCCGCGACATGGCGCGGGACCGGGGGTGGGAGGCCTGAAGGAGCGGAGGGCACCGCGGGGCCATGGCAGAGCCCTCCCCCGTCATAGAATCACAGAATGGTTTGTGTTGGAAGGGACATTAAAGCTCATACAGTTCCAACCCTTCCACTAGAGCAGATTGCTCCAAGCCCCGTCAAACCTGTCGTTGAGCACTGCCAGGGATGGAGCAGCCACAGCTTCTCTGGGCACCCTGTGCCAGCGCCTCAGCACCCTCACAGGGAAGAGCTGCCTAATACCTAACCTGAACTTACCCTGCTTCAGTCTGAACCCATCACCCCTTGTCCTATCACTCCAGTCCCTGATGAAGAGTCCCTCTCCAGCATCCTTGTAGCTCCCTTCAGACACTGGAAGCTGCTCCAAGGTCTCCACGCAGCTTCTCTTCTCCAGACTGAACAGCCCCAACGTTCTCACCCTGTCTTCATGTGAGACTTGCTTCAGTCCGTGATCATCCCTGTGGCCTCCTCTGGACTTGCTCCAACAGCTCCATGTCCTTGTTACATTGGAGACACCAGAACTGCACAGAGTGCTGCAAGTAGGGTCTTACGAGAGCAGAGTAGAGGGCAGAGTCCCAGGAGCCCACCAGGGCAGGCCCTGTTCTGGTAAGCTCTCTGTCAGCTCCAGGCTTCTCCCCTCTGAGACACCAGCCCTCAAGCACCCCTGCGAGGCCCTGTGCCTGGGAGCCCTCCCTGCTGTGCCGGGGCCTCCCTCATGCAACAAGGGGAGTGCATGCTCTGGCTGCATTGCTCAGCATGGGGCTCTACTGAGCTGCTCATCGCTAAGTGAAAAAAATGACTTCTTCTGAAAAGCAAAACTACTGTGGAACACATTAATGGCTTCAGATTTTTCATCTTACAATGACTGGATGCTTGCTGTCTGCAGGGGCTGGCCTTTGCCAGGTGTTCATGTTCAGCTAGGCTCTCCAAGTGACAGCCTGTGCCTCTGGCCATTCTCCTCGGTCTCATGTTTGTCTTCAATGAGGATGGTGAAACACTGGAATAGGTTGCACAGAGAGCTGGTGGATGACATTCAAGGCCAGGCTGGATGTGGTTCTGAGCAACCTGATCCAGTTGCAGATGTCCCTGCTCATTGCAGGGGGGTTGGACTGGATGAGCTTTGAAGGTCCCTTCCAAACAAAATTATTCTGTGATTCTATGATTCAGGCACAAGTGCCATCCTCATGCACCAGCAGCTCACCCTGCCAAGATTCCTGCCTCCTCCAGTGTACACACAGCACTCTATGGCCTGCTGTTCACATCCCCTCAATGCCTCTTCCTTCCATGTCATTCCCTTCTCTTGTGTGTTCATCTGCATCAGTTGTTCTGGTACCTTGTGTTCCGGATTTCTTTCATTATCCTCTTGTGTTTTATACCCTGTCATCACTGCTGGCTGTAACCCATGTGCCTCCTGACTGGTCATCCTGCTGTTTGCATTCAGGGTCCTTTGTGCCAGTCACAGCTCTGATGTTTTGCCCGCTAATGCCCCATCAGATGGTGATCTGCCATCACTGCCTGTCAAACTGACAAAAAGAATTTTATTGTTGCTTTATCCTTGCTCCATGGCTACCTGCCATCACTGGCTCTAGCTTGCGTGTTCTTCACCATGGCATTTTCTGTTGTCAGAGATGGATATGGACAGCTCTTTCACAAACACAGCAGTCCATGACTTGAACTGCCATTGTGTCCAACCCCCTCAAACTGGCAGGTCCTGCCCACACTTGCACATGACGATAGAGTTTTCATTGCACAGCTGTGCACATTAGGACCACGTCTGCCCCAGCCAAAAAACAGTGCTGTGATAAGCACAATACTAGCAGATAGATCAGTAGATTAGCAGGGTTTACCCTTTTGTTAAGCACAAACCTGTTCTCAATACTCTTATTTGTCCATAAAGGAAGAAAAACTGAAACAATGAGAGACAGCTCCTGCATGGCAGTGTTGCTCTGCAGGTTTGGAAAGCTATTTTTTCTTTGTATGATGATAGCTGCAAACATATTTATGAAGCTGAAAGAAAAACCTTTGTCTGAAAATTTCTTTGCACTCTCAGAAGCTTCTAGATGTGCTTTGTAGTTGCCAGAGATCTATAGAGCCCTCAGAGTCCTTTGCTTGTCCCAGTATATGAGGAAGGGAGAGGCACTGGAATGACCAGATGCACGTGCACTACGCACGAACCAGCACTGGCTTTTTCTTGGCATGCTGGCCAGCAGTAGGAAGTGCCATTTTGTGTGATCACCTCTCTACAGGAATATTTCATTAAAGCATCCTGTTATGTGTTTAGAACATACATTAGCATCACTGGCTTCTTTTTGTGACTACAGAACATGTCACCTTGCTCACTGGAGACACCTCTGGGAGAGACGCAGAAGGAACAGGGTGAAGGTTAAAGAGTAAGTCTAAATCTATGCTACTTGCCATCTCTGCCCAGGGGCAAAGTGATGGCAGGCCCAATCTGATGGTTTGAACAATGCTCAGACAAAGGCTTAAACTGCTTTTAGGCTGATGGATGAAAAAACCAGCCAAATCCCAGCAACAATAAAAACACTCCATGCCTTTAACTTAGCTATAATTGTGAAAACAACAGCAAACATCCACATCATCTGCTCTTCAAAAACTGCTCACTGTTCAGCTAAGTGTCTCCATAGAGAGACTGAGAAGACAGGAGAGAGGCATTGAGACTCCAGAGACTGGCAAGAACTTGAACACAGGTCTGTGCCAAGCAGTTCCAGTGGGAAACTTGAGATTTTGGAGTTCTGTATCTATCTGCTTAGTTCTTGCCACTGAATTTGTAAGATATGCAGGTGCCTATTAGCATTATGAAGAGCAGTAGACAGTTTCTGGAAAATACGAAAGGGGAAATAAAATATTCCCCTGAAAAAAAACTCTTGCAGCCCTTGCAGAAAGCTGCAAGAAAATTGAAATAAGAACAAGAAATACACTATTTTTGCTTTGATTGAACCAGAGGTAGTGTGAGATATACTTAAAAAATAAAAAAGGACAGACTCTTTAATTTAGAGATAATAAATAATAATAAATAAATATGTTCATTAAGATAACGGGAGCTGTGTCGTACCTCAGTGTATACCAAGAATGA